CATCAGATGCTCACCTGGGTAGAGAGTAGAGTGCTTGTCCAACGCTGTTAGATGCTCACCTTTGGGGCATGCTGAACCAGGCCTGTCAGATGCTATACTGGTGTAGGAGTGTTGATCCAAGGTTTTCAGATGCTCACCTTCGGGGGGTGCAAGTTCAATCCTGGCAGATGCTCACCTGGGGGAGGTGCTTTTCCAAGTCTGTGAGATTCTCACCTGTGTGGAGATCCTGGTTCAAAGGTTTCAGATTCTCTCCTTTGGTGGGGGCTGGGGGGGATTTTTTCTTGTCCAAGTCTGTTAGATTGTCATCCGGTACTCGACTGTAATGAGAGTTTTATACATGGCAGCTGGAATTCCCAAGAGCCAAAACAGAATTGTCTTTTCTCCTGCAAAGCAAGTACCCTATCCAGTGTTACCAATTGTCAGCAGTGCTGTCAGATGGAACCCAGTTCATGGTGCAGGATTGATCAGAGAGGACCCTCCTGCCTTCCACCCTTCCAGGGCTCTCTCTCCAGCCCACTGGCCAAGACCTGCACCCCCACACAACAGCTGAGGAGGAACCCCATCCCCTGGAATTTTAAAGCATCTGGGTAAATTTCCAGTTCTGGCTGTGAGAAAGTAACTGTATTGGGCTGCCGAAAACAATGTAAGCTGGATGAAATACATGAACAACTCTGTTTAGGTTTTGTACAACAGTCAGTGGAGGGCTGTGATACCTGAGAAACAGGAAACCACATGAGGGGAGCTCAATGGGGAGACTTTCCAGCCCCTGCACATGAGATGGAGCAGATCTGCTGAGCTGCAGAGGTAGAGGTTGGAGTTCCTGGCCATTGCAGTGGCTGGAATTTGCACAAAAGGGCAGTGGAGATGATGGAGATGTGCCGAGGACAGGCATTGAGAAGTCCTTATGGGCTTCACCATGGGTGCTTGTCTGAGGGGTGGTCTGCACATGCACAGGGAAAGACACAGAAGGCCAATAGAGATCACCCGTGGTGGGGCCAAGACCTGAATGGTGACCCCAGCATCAGGCAGGGCTGGGAGATGTTGGTGTTCTGACCCGTCCAGAACAGAGAGAGCTTTCTGCACATCTTGGGTACTTAGCTGAGACCCTAGAAAGGTCACACCCTAAAATAAAGGCCATACCTTAGGACTAAGTTCAAAACTGAAATAAACCTCCCCTAACAAATAAAGAAAACCAACCCTGGCAGGACCAACATGATCCACCAGGAATTTAACTGCCCACCAGAACAAAAGTCAACACGCTTTGCAGGATGACAGCATAATCCAGACTGCTTACAATATACCAACCACAAAGTTCAGCACGAGATTGAAAACTGCTGGACATGGAGAGAACCAGAAAATGTGGCCAATGATCAAGAAAACAAGTACTCACTAGAAACAGATCCCGGCATGGCT